CGCAGTGTCCCGAAAATGAAAATGTAAAATAACTCCTTGAGCTATTGAATAGGATCCTGATGACCGCCTGGCTGGGTAAAGCATTTCGGTATCCAGAATTAGTCATCGCTGAGATTGAATCCGCCTCATTTACATTTTATCAAGAGGGCTTTTGATATTGCCTCTTTCGACAGCATATGCAACTCTGCTGTTAAAGCTCATTTAGTATAAACTTAATTTTCTTAACTTAACTTAGCCTAATATATTGGCCAACCTGTTATATGAGAAAAAGCGAAAGTGGGACAACCTACACTGAAAGGGGTAACGATTTGCTTTCTTCAACTCTTTCCATTTCATCGAACAAAAGACCTTTCATATCAACTATATGTCATTTGCCTTGAGTTAAAACTGTTGCCATCTCTATTTAAATACCAACATCCAAACTTATACCACCAAAATGCCAAAGCTGAGGATTAGCGCATCCATAGCCTTCCTTCTATTTTTACACGCATAACTACGATGTAATCAACAACGCCATCAAAAGCTTTAAAATTTACATAATTATTCAACTTAGTATAAATGCGATCCTTGCCACCATTGCGCTTTTTATCTGCCGTTACATATGTATACATGTATATGTCCATGTACAATCATACCCGATCACGTACAACATGCAAAGTCAATGTACAACATTGAATGGTTAGCGAAAAAAAGGAAGCATCAGCTACAAATCGGCTGCCAATAGCGCCACACATCAACGATTTTTATGAGCAACACAAAATCGAAGAAATTTCAATCAATGTCACATAACATGGCATGGCATGGACGCACGATCGGTGGTCCGCATTAGTGGCAGCAATAACCGTAGAAACACACATACTATATAAGTACATATATATATGTAAATGTGCTTGTGAATGCCTTTATGCCTGCTAATCAGCATGTTGCAACATTTCAACAAATGCGACAACATTTTATGTTGCACCATTAGAGATTTGTTGCGAAATTTATTGCACGACAGCGTGTCGAAATGTAGTAAGCAATATGCAACACGTAATATTTATGCTGGCTGCCACATGATGGCAGACGCCACACAAGTTAGTAAGTAAGTACTAAGTGAAGCAGCAGAAAACTCGAAGGTACTCGAACGTAAAACTAAGACAGCAGCTACAAGGTGGCGTTTCAGGAGCAACAAACCCACAAAACGTTGGCAGGCAATGCGTGAGCAACAACATCAAAAATAGCGAAAAAATGCAACAATAATTTTTTTCCTATTTTTTTTTCTATATTTTTGTTTGCTCTGTTGGCGACGTGTGTCGAACAATGCAAATGATTTCCGCATTGATTTGCTGCTGTTGATGATGATCTGACTGCATGCGCATGCGCAACTATTGTCAACTTAAGTCAATGCTAAGAGCAAAATACTCAAAAATGCGTGTAAGGATTTCCGTGGTCGAAATAATGAATGCAGCAAAATATGACACTAACAACGATGCATATATTATTATAATCTTTACTATCATTTATGCATATTCATGGCTTTTGGGAAGTTTATTTTCTTTACATGTTTGCCGTGGGAGAGCTAATTGGCGTATAGTGTTTGCTTGAACGACTTATTTTTCAGTTTTCCTCTTCCTTTACTTTTATTAAGCTTTTATACAATACTTGATTTTCAAATATAATATCTGCGTCCCCTTAAGAAGGTTAAATACCTCTCGATGTGTATCGCGAATTTTTCGTACATACTTGTCTCAATTAAGGAGTCCAGGTCGAGGATTTGCCCTGTCCTGCCTCGTTGTTGTTGTAACAGCATTACTTACTGCTTCCCGGATTAAACCCACTGTTGGTAAGCCCATAAATCGTTCTGTTTCGAATAGGTTCGATCAGAAGCAGTAACTCCTTTCACAGAGCCAATGGTACTGTACCCAATTCTGGTAATACAAACACCTGCTCTGGTTGGCATACACCACTTACCCTTCCTGTCTTCAGGAGGTAGAGATGGCGGAAATCTTTTTGTGGATCCGAGCTGCCTATGCTAAAAGATTTTTGAAGAAAAAAACACCTTAGACGGTGTAATCTACGTATGTTTTATAGTCCAGCCGAGCACAGCCAGATATGTGTTGGATATACTGAGTATATGTAGTAGTTTAATCTGCTAAGGTAGAAAAAGTTCAAGATTTTTGTCTGCGATAGGTGGTGGCTGAACTTTGACAACGGCATTTACAGCTCTATGACTCTTTATGATGGTAATTGTCTCTCCATGAATATTGTTAATAGGCCGCCTGATTTTCATCGGGTTAAATGGTTGTGCGATCCACTCCTAAATCTCGCCCGTAGTTTCGTAAAGATTCGTTCTAACGGGCATAAGAAGTCTTTCACCTTCAAGCAAATGAACTTTAGCGTATTTTCTGCACTGTGCTGCCCAAAAGTGAGTATTGAGACCTCACTACGCACATGGTATTCAGGACTCATATGAAGGCAATCCATTGCTGCCCAGACGTCCCCCATTAAACTGTTCATCAGTCGGCTGCGGAATTGATGAAACCAAGTTTTTCTGAAAGTCTAGATTGTATGTGTATAGAAAAGTACATAATTTCTCAGTTTTCCCAGGTTAGCGATTTTAAGTATTTTTTTCAAATTAAAGTTGATCGACGCAGAGCAGCTATAACAACAATTAAAACTGATTTAAATGCCATACTTATACTAGCAGAAGGCCTTTATGGGGTTTTTGGGTATGAGAAAACTGAATCTGCAATTCATTTTTACCATTCGTTTGACCAAAAACGGCCATTGGGTGCTATTTGGTGCGCTTTAATGAAAAAAAAAACGTGAAGGAAAATAGTCTAAAAACAATGTTTGCACTTTTCCTTCATGTACCTTCCATGTTTTTTCCATCATAGCGCACGCAGCGGCCGTTTTAGGCAAACATAAATTGCAAATTCAGTTTTTTTGGACCACAAAACTTCAAGAAATGTCTGTTGATCAAAGGCGATCCTTATATTTTTTAATCAACTCTATTGGTCACCAATACCTTCGTCCAAACTCGAAAAGGGTCACCGTTGATTTTTTGGTGGAGGGAGTATGTATATTTGTATTGAAGAAAGGTCCGAAAGATAGCCATTCATTTTCGAGCACAGAATATTTATGCTATTATCAGACGTCACTTAAGAGCAGTCGTCAACGTATGAGATATGTGTGTGCCACTCTCCTTGTTGATGCAGAAACTTCGAAATGTAGTAAATGTAAAACAGTAATGGCGAAAGAACACCTGCCTGTAGGAGCTTAGAAGTGTCATCTCGAGGTAATACTGGCCCGCTTTGTCCCACGGTCGATTCCCCAACCAACTTACTCATCCTGGTGGGAAGGACAATGCCTCAATGTCCGCTGGTAGTGTTTTGGTAAAATGCTCGGGTTCTTATTGAAGCCTAGTTGATCATTGTTGAAGAAAGTAGAGATATCGGATGATATGACTTTATATTGTTGGCTATTTGTGGGCATTAAAGTAGTTCTATTCTTGACTTCTTTAAAGTCAGTTTACTTAACGAAGGATGCAGAACGGGGAGCTTAAATAGTTCATGGACGAATTTTTCACTCTGCCTTTGCGCTTCGCCGAGTTGGACTCGGAGCTTTGGGTTGATCAAAGCTTACTCATATCAGAAGGCAAATAAGTCATTTGTCTTAAAATGTTCCTCCCACTTTTTCTACTTGTTTTGGTAAACCTGTTACCGAAGCTCCGACATGTGATTTTTGATATAGGGATCGACTTTCGTAGTTTTACACGGTCTTTTGCGAAGAAAGCAGCTTCAGCCCAAAAAGTGGCATGGATTTCTAATGGTATATCGAATGGTTTAAAGTGTGCCACATGTGTAACGACTTTCGTCAACATGGTCGCCGTCTGGCGTTGAAAGAGCAAACCTGCTGCATAGATTCTATCGCTGAAGCAATAATTATCGGTTGGATAAAATCCTGTCGCAGTCTTCAACCAATACATAACTATCGAGGCGTTTTGCCCTCTGATGGAAATGTTTTCGAACTTTTCGCATAACGCGGCTCTTGCTTCTGCTTCAAACATTTTGGTTAGACGTAATTTGTTTAAAACTTGCATTTTTTTGTGCTTAGTTTTTTCATTTCTTTTGCATTTTTCTCTCCATAAAGCAGAGTGTGTTTAACATGGCGCATAAGAAATATTGTCACTTTTACTTTATTAGCAAGCCAATGTTTTATTCAACAACAACCCACTACACAGCAATGTGCGTAAAATTTTAAAACCCACGATCGCGTTGCCAACTACTTGCGAGCAAACTTAGGTAGCCAAAATGCAAGAGAAATGCCGCTTAGTGCCAACACTCCGAAAATTTTCGTATCGGATCACTTAAAACGAGCACTTAAATGAGTTAAAGGCGCCAAGAGCATTTGTTGGCGGGAGAATTTCTCTCCAAACAAGCTACAAATTGCCGTAGTTTGGCAAATGTATTGTTGACCAAGGCAGACCAAGGAGAGGTGTACGTATACATCTATGTATATTCGATTGTGCTTAGCAGACCGGTTGTCAGCTAAATCAGCGGCTGGTTGCAAGTTAGCAAGTTGGAGCGAGTTGCGTTGCCGGTTGATTTATTTAGTATGTTGATACTCTCCATGGGCGCTCACCCATTCCACGACTCACTGCGTGCGGGAGAAGTCACTTTGAAAAATTGAGATGCGCTGCCAGTTCTGTGGGTGCGAGCGCGCGCTAACCAGCTGCTCCACTAGCCATAATAAGTAATCCCCGCTGCTTCTGCTACATTTTTTTTGCACTTGCGCTCGCTTAGTCACTACAAGAAATGCCGCTCGCTACCTGTGCACCACTCCGAATCTTTGTTGTCTTTTTTCGGAGTAGTTCTTCAATTGACTTGACTCTTCCAATAGCGCGCTTGCTCTCTAAATAAACAAGTATTTTTTTTACTTGTTTTGCTGCCACACGTTTTTGTTGGCCATTTGTTTGCGTGACTATGGTTGCTTATGGTTCAAACGAGTAGCGACTGTTGACGCGTTTGCACGAGCAAATCGGCGCGTACGCGTTATCATAAAATTTTTTGTTTTCGAGTCGAGTTTTTCGAGCGAACGCCAAAAAGCAATTGAAAAAAATCTTTAATTGAAGCAAAAGTTGAACAAACAATTGGCAATTAAAAAAAAAAACTTGTCTAGCCACGCATGTACGCGCAGGAAATAAAGAAACTCACATCTGCGCTTTGGATGTGTTGTTGTTTTAGCTAATACTGGTGTGCAGATTTAAGCCTAAAGTGTTAGTATGAGAAGATTTCTTTGTGCTAAAAGAGACGAGTAAGACTGTGGGCAAAATGCATAAAAGAGAAAAAAAAAACAATTCTAATTGCAACATCTGAAGAAATTTGTGTTGAAACTTTAAAAAAATTTTAAATAGAAACCGAAATGAAAATTTAATAAAGAAAAATTATTCAAAATTAATATTGAAATAAATAAAATGATAATTCGTATTGTGGTTGATTTTTGTGTTTTTTGTTTAATTTTCCAACCTCAATAAATCCAATAGAAAATTACAAAAAAAATAAGATTTTTGAGGTTAGAAAGACAAACGAGCCAAACTTTGAGTTCCGAAAATCAGTGATCCTAAATCAATAATAATTCATCAATTTCGCTCGCCAGAAACCAAATATTTTGGTGCCATTTATTTGCAGTAGATTCAGCAATCTGCGAAAACCCCAAGAAGTTAAATTATTTTTACATATAAGTTTCATGATTTGTTTTTGACTAGTTCGTGAATGCCGCTATTGAATAGCAATAAGTTAAATTTTTTATACAAATATATTTTTTTAATATGCTAGCCGGTGTACTTCTCAGTCAATCATAGAAGTATTTTGTAGAAAAATAATTTTTTTGTAAAAAATAAACCAAATTAATTTTTAGAATTTCATCCTGAAGGCGGGCCCTTCCTTTGAACAGTTGATTTTTGTCCAGAAATTTGTATGAATATGCCTATTATAAAATTTAATTCGATTGGGCGATGTCTATAAGCCTACAACTCATTAAAACTCGAAATTTTAAAAAATTTGCTGCCATTTTTATGTTACATTAGAACTTTCGATACTTTAGAGGTTTTCAAGGTTTTTTTCAGTTCAATTGAATAAACCTAATATAAATTTTTGAATTTTTCAAAGCAGTTTTTAGTAAAAAAAAATTTATTAACAAAATCATTATTTAGAATTTTGGGTTTGAAGGCGGCTTCTTACTCTAAGCAGTTGATTTAATATTTTTAATACCCATATTCTAAAATTCTAATTCAATCAGGCGAAATCCTTAAAACTCAAAATTCCAAAATCATTCCATACTTGTTTCGCGAATTTCGAGCCTTTTTCAGTTTAATTAAATACTGCATATATAGAGAATATTAAAGATATCAAATTTTTTTACGCAAAAATTCTCATAGAGCATCTAGATGCATTTCTGCATCAAAAAAATAAAATTAAATATTTCACTTGCGTTTTTCGCGGTTACAGCTTGCTATCTAATTTTAAGTCAATAGAAAATATTTTCTTTTATTAAAATATTGCACAAAATTGATTTTTCGAATGCGCTTTTAATGAGTCATTAATTTTGCGCGCACTGTTTTTAAAGTTGTCCATATCTTTATCAATTATTTTCGGGGTTTTTATTACATTTTTTTTCTATGCGACTGAAATCTACGCTTAAATCTATCCACCTTATTCATCTCGTTATATTGTGAATACCGGTAGTGAATTTATTATATTTTTAACCGTTTTTTCCTTGAAAACTTGCATAACTTAACTTAAAAAAATTGACATAATTAATTTTTTTAGCCTTTTAATTTTATTAAACAATTTTTATTGAGCTTAAAGCATTTTTATATAAAAAATTATTGTGGAAAAACAATATGATATTTTAGGCCAAAAAATAGCAGAAACCCCTTTTTAATTTTATTTGTTTTTAACGTATTTTGTAATGGAGTAACAAAAAAAATCAATTGCAGCTACTCAGCTTGATCATTTCACGAGTGTGTGAATACCCTTATTGAACTTAAACGCAATTTAAATTCATTTCGTCTTGAAAACTTTTGAAAACTATTTCACAAATTGACTTTTCGTATATTATTTTTCAATTTCTCAATATTCTATACAAAACTATTTATCTTTTTACAAGCATTTTTAAATATTTTTATAAAAAATAACAGACAATTACCAGCTGCTAGTGCTAATTTTCGCGACTCCTTCAAATACATTTTTTTTTTTCAACGCGGCTTGTGTGTAATTTTACTTTTTCATGGTTTCTCATTTTTTTTTCGTTTTTGTATGTTGCTGTGTCTTTTCTTCTGTTTTTGCGTATTCCCCTGGTGACCGTGTCAATCGCGTGTGTTTATTTCGTATTTGTCCAGCAAAAGTAGCCGACTTTTCGTAGCAACGAAAAATAAATAAAAACAGCAATAAATGTGAAACAAAAAGAAAAACAAACACAAATAAATATAAAACGCAGGCAACAACAATCAAAAGTCAACTTTCCCCTTTTTATGCGCACTGCACTGTCGCCATCGTCGTGTTGGTAAAATCATTCGTCCGTTGTGGCTTAACAGTGACTTTTTTTTGTGTGTTTTGTTGACGTTCACCTGGTAGTACGGTGTGTTAACGTGTCTCTTACGATTGTTCATGTATTTGTTGGCCATGCGTTAGCGACAACAAGAATAAAAAATAAAGGAAAAGCAAAAAAAAAATACAGAAACAAAGAGACTCCACCAACAAAGTACACGTTTTCGTGCAAAATGACTGTTAAAATGCTAATAAAAAAATACAACAAATTACGAGTTGCATAGTTACATACCCTTCAATCATATTGGGCTCTTGTGCTAGGAACTGGTGGTGTCATTTTTGTCATGCCTAAAAACAGAAAAGGGGGAATAAATTTAGTAGCGAAAAAATAAAATGAAGTTGAAGACACAAACATTTGTGGCATACAGACATACAATAAAAATTTCATTATGATCTTTTTTTTTGCGCAGAAACTGAAACTGAAATAAACTTAATAATAAAAACTTTGCAAATACCAAAAAGAAACCAAATATATAAAATATATAAAGTGATGCACAAACAGAAGTCGCAAATGCATAAACAAGTTTTTTATGAAGTGTAGAATAACTGCGCATTTACCCATGAATTGCTTCAGCCTGTGGCTTTGTTGTGGTCGTGCAATCAGCTGGGCAGCCAAAATGTCGAAGACAAAGAAAAAGTAAATTCAATAAATTTTAAAAGATATAACCACAAAAAATAAACAATGCTCGCTACCAAACAGTAGGGGTATTCACGATCCGGTGCACGCTGTCTAGCACGGTGCATAGATAGCATGATTGTTGTTGTTACATGTGTTCAAACAACAACAAAAGTAGGCAATCACACTATTCATGCTACCTAAGCACCAAGCTAGACAGTATGCACCAGATCGTGAATACCCCTAGTATCCCTTTATGGTTGCACTTTGCACTTTGCATTGTACTTAGCTTTGTCGCCAGCTACTGCTTTTGTTGCTGTAATTACAACTTCTACCGACTTTGCCAAGCTCAGCTGTTTTGTGCAATTTTTTTCAAAGAATTTTGCGCTTCATTCAAAGTCTCTTTCTTGCAGTTTTTTGTTGCTGTTTGTTTTTTTTTTTTGTTTAAACATATTCAAAGCTGCTCCACTTTTTTGCGCGCAAACCTTTTGAACTGCCACTTCATGTATTACTTTTTCCACTATTATTTCACTTTAAGCCCACGTATTACGTCCATTTCATTTGCATTTGCGCCTTCTGTGCTTTAAAATTCTACTTTTTTCTTGCGAAATTCTAAACCAGCAAAGTCTGCAAAACAACAAAAAATCTTTGCGAGTAGAAAATGCAATATGAAATAAAATACTGTCATTTCTCAACTGGTCAAAAACAACGTGGCTAAATAACAAAGCTGTATTTACAGTGAATTGCATTTTATTGTGAAATTGATGTATGCAAGTGAAAAATAATTCAAAATAAAAAAAAACATCTTTTAAACATCGCACTTTGGTTACTCAACCGAATTCCATACAACGACGTCACAAACATATTTGAAATCAAACCGAAACTGGATTCTGCAATCGTGGATACTATTAGCCATTTAAAAATGGTATTTGGCGGACGTTTTCGCATCAGAAGGTGGGTAGTATGCAAAATTAGTTCGCTTATTGAATAATTTTGAAAAAATGCTTATAAAAAAAAATTAAAAATTAACTACTCGTACTTAGTAAATTAAAAATAAGTTCCCTGCTTTGAACGTCGAAAGTCGCTTTCAACTCTGGTGCGACAGTTAACTGCCTTACCTAAACAAAAGCGTTGGGCTGAGCGTTTTCTCTCGAGTGAGGTCATTTTCTCTTCAAAGCTGTAATTCATTGAGTTGTCGAATAATATTTTTTTTGTTTAGTCATTAATAGGAGTAGTTCAAGATGCTAACTTGATGATAGTTAAATAAAAATATAAAATTTTTGAATGGAAGTTCCTTATAATTTACTCTAAATTCCAACCAACACAAAGCACAGAGTTTTTTTTTTTTTGTCAAAAGTCCACAGGTATCTACCAAGCTATATCTTTTATAAGGAGAACATTCACGAGTATGCAATTAAGTGATACCTAAACGCGAATGATAGCTAAGCAAATACAACTATTTAAGCGGAAATAACACTTCTGAAAATTGGAGTGGAGCTTAAATGGGGTAAAATCTGTTTTGATAACAAATAATAAAGATTTTGTCAATGAACTGTACTTAACTCTGCATGTATACATATGTACATATGTATGTACGTTTAGTTCTACCTTTATACAGAGTTTAGATTATCGGTACTTACAAGTTTTATCATACATAAGAATCTTTCGAAGAGGTGCTTACGCAGATAAACATTCTATAATTTAGAAAAAATAGATACAAATGCAAAGTGATCATTTATAGACGCTCTGTAACGATTTCACCATCAGAAGATGAGTAGGTACTCTCTCTAAACGACGCCTCAGCTTCGTTATCTTCACAAAAATTTTCTCTTCGATCATTTATACTACAATATACTATTTCTTGTTGCGCATTTCCGTTTTGCCATAAGAATTTTATCTAGCTTTCATCAAATTTTTTATGTAAATAAAAATTACCGAAGCCGATATTAATAGCAAGGTAAACACATTTTTCATATCGCACAGATGATAAGCTACGCAAAAAATAAAAATAAAAAATCAGCAAAAATAAACCTGGCAGAATTGATTGCTTGCTTTTTCTAATTACATAAATAAAGCCGTTTCGACGTGCATTTCTACAATAATCAGCTAGAATATTTAATTAACAAAGAATTCTAAATATATGGAAATTATCGACATTTGATCGCAGAAATTTATTTGCCAACGATTCATCATTACGAATACCGACCGTGGTGAATTAATACAATAAAAGTAGGTAGCAAAATTTTGCAAAGACATATAAAATTGGATATAAAAACCATCAACAATTGTATAAAATTTACATTTGTATATACATGTGTAAATATATACAACTTTTTGTCTTGGTAATCAGCGCGTGCAAAAAAATGCTTCTAGATAATGAGTTATTCTGCATATATACATACACTGCCGGCAAAAAGTATTGGCACAGCTAGTTTTTCACAATATATGCAACAATGTTTATTCTAATATTTTTCCGTTAATTTTTTATAAAAATATGGTTAGTTCTACAACAAATAACATAAAAATATAATTCCTAAACTTTGTGCAAAACTCGCGAAAATTCAACAAATTTTCAATCATTTTAATCAGATTTTCTAGAATTTTCTTGAGTATGCAGATTTGGAGCCCAGTCAATTTTATTATAAAAAAGTACAAGTTTTACAAGTTGAATTTTTTATTTTTTTACGCAGTCTCTTCCATACAAAATTTTTTTTCCAAAATACTTTATATGGAAAAAATGCAAAACACCTTCTACAAAAAAGTTCTCAAAAATCACTGCGACTTTTGACTCACTCCGAACTTGCATTTTTTTTACTAGAATTTAGTGGGCTGCAAAACTGCTTAATCAAAAAATCTGATTAAAAGTTGAAAATTTGCTGAATTTTCGCGAGTTTTGCACAAAGTTTAGGAATTAAATTTTTATGCCTTTCGTTGTAAAAAGAACAATATTTTTATACAAAATTGGCGGAAAAATATTAGAATAAAAATTGTTGCATATATTTGCTGTACCAATTCTTTGCTCCGGCAGTGTACATACAGTGGCGGTCAAAAATGGATTTTTCTTAAGATACAATTTTTTTATATTTTTTTTATAAAAGTATGGTTCATGCTTCAACAAAAACTATGTAAATCACACTTTCAAACTTTATACAGAATTTAGAAAAATCACACAAATTTTTATCTAATTTCGAGCTTTTGAACCAGAATTAAAAAAAAAAAATTTTGGTATGCAGTTAACAGGCTTATAAAATTTTAGCGAAGTAAGTGCAAGTTTTAAGCTTCTCAAAAATCGCATTGATTTTTAATATTTTTTTTTGCCGACGGCTTTTGGGTTTTTTTTTGTCATATAAGTAGCTAAATTTAGGTAAACTGGAGTTGTCTTTTTATTTTTTTTTCGCAAACGGTCTTGCGCATATCTTCCACAAGAAATTCATATTTATATGGGAAAAACGCCATTAACAAAAAAAAAAATATATTAAAAATCACTAGAATTTTATAAGCCTGCTAACTGCATACCCGAAAAATTTCTAAAAATTCTGGTTTCAAAGCTCGAAATTAAAATAAAAATTTGCGGATTTTTTCTAAATTCTGTATAAAGTTTGAAACCATATTTTTATAAAAAAAAAATTATCTTAAAAAAACATTGTAAATATTAAAAACGAAACAGCATTCATCAATTTTTGGCCGCCACTGTACATATGTTTATATTCGGAGTGCGGCGTGACTCAAGTGCGAATGCTAATATTTATTTGCATAGCTATCGATAGACCTGTAGGCGAATTTACTTATTTACATGTTTTATAAATTATGGATAATAAATGAAGAGGCAAACTGAAAGTAAGTACATATATATGTATGTAAATTAGGGTAGTTCAAAGAAAGTAAAGTCGGAATTGTAATGGATAATTCAATACCGAAAAAATATAACGTAAAAAATATTTGGAGATTTTCGCATGTATTTTTTATAGGTGCAAAACTCAATATTTATTTATTTGTTTGTTATAATATTTTTTTAATTAAAATATAGTTCGTCCATAACAGAAACAACATAAGTTAAAATTTCAAAGCTTACACAAAATCCATAAGAAGTGATCAAATTTCAAAAAGTATTGATCAAAATTTGCAACTTTTTATTCAGACAATTTTCGAGTATGCAGTTTTGTAAACCATTCAATTTTAGTATCATAAGTTGCTAATTTCGTATCGCTGAAAATTACGATTGATTTTTTTAAATCTAAAATTTCAAAGCTTGGATATAGTACGTTTCCACGTTTCTTTTGTCCATGAGTGCACATAAAAATTTTTACATGCTATAAACATACATACATACATACATATGTATATGCCGACACTGATTAAACATTTAAAAAATTATAGCATTTGTAGAAAACTAAAGTTAAAAAAAAAAACGGCAAAATCACACTTAGTAATAAGTGCTAATTCAGCGGTTTATATTAATTCTCCCCAAGTTAGCGGAGTAAAGTTAAATGTAGAAGAGAAATTCGTAGAAAAGAATTGCGAAATCAAATTGATAACTGGGTCATAAATATTTATTTACTACATTTGTGTTTGATTAAAAACTCAGAAAAAAATGTGCAAAACATCTGAATTTAGAAGGTGAAATAGCTATGTAGACAAGCATTTGGCGGTTTTAGAATTTGTATTTCTTATATATATATATTTTTTTTCCTCTTTTTTTAATAATTGAAAAACTTTAATCACACTGACCCATTTTCTATGTGAAATATTTGCTGGAATTTATTCAGCATTGATAGTTTTCCTAGCCAGAAGCTGTAGTGGCTATTATGGCTATTAAAAACTCATCAGAAGTCATTTGAACTTCCGTTCGACTGCAGGGCTTTAAGCTCACCACTGTTAAGTATTACATGTTTAAAGTAGAATGAAAGCAATTTTTTCCCAGCGACTCAATGCCAAAAATTATGAAATAAAAACCAAGAAGAAAAAGATAATTTTTTATTGGTCCAATTTCATTTAAAACCAGTAAAAGCTATGACTGGAAGAATTTCGTATAGAAAGCTGAAAACACCAAAATGTTAAAGTTTTCTCAAGCCTAGGGAATGAAAACAAAACTCGTATGTGTTCCCTAAAAGCTTCACATTCCCTTACTGTATTTTTTCTTTTGTTTCATTCCTTTGGCGATTCTTTTCTTTTACATTTAACCGCAAATTCATATGAGGAAGCTATCTAGCATTTAAATGGATTAGGAAATCAAAGGTATGCACTTAATAAAAGTATCTAATAATTATCACAAATTATTACGTTCGACTTTGGCCTCTAAACCTAAATGCTCCTTGCCTGCGGCCTCAAATTTCCCAAACAATTACTTCCTCCTATTATAATAAGCTTATCACTTATTGCCTTATTACTTAATTGAATTACAATTTTGATCAGCGGATTAGAATTCTCAATCATTACTAAAGCCTGAAGCTAATTTAAATGCATTGTAAAATAATAAATTACTAAGCGTAAACTCTCATATGAATAGAAAAAAATTGCAGCGGAAATTTTAAAATGTGCAACAAATGTGAAATTTTGAATTCCCATGAGTAAAAATAGAACCAAAAAAAAAGCTAACAATTGTGCTAAGCTAAAGGCTGTTCCCAGTAGACTAATTTGAACAGATTGATCAGTCAAACTACGAGCATCAACAACTTAATTATTTAGCTGCATAGCGTGTAA